GAAGCATCTGGCACAAGGATGTGCTTGTGGCAAGCGTCGACAAACCCCGCAATGGAGCTCATGTGCGCAAGGGCAAATTGGATGCGAGCTGGGTTGATCTGGTGGCACTCTCCAAGACTACGGGAAAGTCGCAGGACGATCTGGAAAGCATGTGGCAGCAGATCATGGGCTGAGAGCTAAGAGATGAACCGAGGAGAGGGAGCTCTTCGGTGGCAAACGCTGAGCGCATGGAATTTGTTGAAGGCGGGGGCACAGTGTTCCCTGCCGATGACAGTGGTGGCCTCCTGGTAGGTGCGGTGGAACCTGAGCCTGCCAACTGGGATGATGCCGCAGCTTTTCTACTACCTCCCTACCCCCAAGGGGCCTTGGAGGTGTCTGGCAACTTGGCAACGGGGGCTAGTTCGGCTTCTGTTGGTTGTAGCCTTGGCGGAGAGCACGTAAGGTTCGAGCAGAACAGATCGCTGCCGCACACACTTCCGCCGTGTACAGATTTTCCTCGTGATGAGTGTAGTGTTAAGGATGAGGAGGGGGCATCTTTCTTTCAGGAACGCGACCTGTTGGATTGGCATGCTGGTAACTTCTGTGCAGGTAGACGGGACTCCCGATTTCAGCTGACAGGTCCTAAGTACTTTGTGCCTGACGTCATCTATGCACCCTCCGATGTTGACCCCCATGAGGTCCTCAATGTGCCTGATTCGTGCCCGAGCCAGGAGCGCTTGGGTACGGATTTGAACACGCCAACAGAGTCGGAGCTGCGCCTTCATACTTGGAACGTGGCAGGTGCGAGTGCCAAAATGGTTAAGACTCTCGTGTCCCAGGAGTTGGATGCTGAGGTGGTTGCGCGGCAGGAGTATCCCAAACAGGCGGCAGGATGGCAACTTGTCAAGGGGGAGACCTACCACGGACTGATCCATCAGAATTATTTCATGTACCGAGCTGTTGCCATCTTCTACAGGGTCGGGGTCTTTCACCTGTTGGGGAGAACAGCGAGCGAAAGAGGCATGTGGTTGCACTTGAAGCACATCGAGACCTCTAAGGAAATCGGGGTAGGATGTCTTCACTTGCCTAACAACCAGCCGAGAGAGGAGAATCAGCGCCTGCTCCAGCAATTCATGCGTGAGAAGCCGCGGCCGGGGTCCGCGGGAGTGGTGCTAGGAGATTTCAACACTCAGTTCAAGTGGTCGGTAGTGGAGAACATGTGTGTCCCCAGCATCATTGACACCAGGTGGGCTGACCTGAGACAGGTCATGTCCGAACATGGGTTCCAGCAGACCCCACCGCCACCGTGTCAAGCGACCACACCGACATTCCACTCCAGAAAGGCAAACACGACAAGCACGCAGATTGACGGGTGTTTTGTGGCAGGGCTTGCATGTACCATGACCATTAAGGTGGATAGCAGGGTCCGGGTTGGCACGGATCATGACGGAGTGGAATTGAGAGGGTTCTTTAAGGGTAAGAGGCAGAGGGAAAGAAGGGTGAGGGGTGGTGGACCGATGAGGGTTGTGGCTTCCCCCCCCCCCAGTGACCGCCGTTGACCAGCCGACCCTCGAAGCCCTGGCCTCCAAATGTTGTAAACCCGCCTCCCTCGGTGCTAAGTTCCGACCCAGCCTGCAGTTCGCACCATGCGTGAAATCGCCAGACAAGGAAGAGATGCGCAGGCGTGGAAGACTTACTTGCAGGCACATAGACAGGAGAAGCAAGAGTGGAAGGGCGAGAGAATCGAGAGGGCGAGCTCAGATTGGAAACTGTACAAGTCGCTGACAAAAGCCAAAAGGGCGTGGGGGGATGAGTATATGGTCGCGTCAACTGCAGCCAATCCAGTGGCAGAAATCAAGCAGCACTTTGACACCGTTTTCCATGATGACCGGAGACCAGACATAGAGGGTGAACTCCAGAAAGTAAGTCAGAGGTTGTGCTGTGACCAGGCTATGGTCCCTTTTTCGAAGCAGGAGGTAGTGCGCGCTATCACCCAGGGGAAGACGGGCAAGGCCACGGGCCCAGATGGTGTCCCCACCGAACTCCTCAGGGATATGATGCAGCATGAGCCCTCAATCGAAGCGTTCCAGGATTTCTTTAACCAAATTATGCAGTCTGGTGACGTCCCACGACAGTGGGATCGTTCAGTGGTAACATTGTTGCCGAAGATTCTGCCACCATCGGCCCCCAAGCAGCTAAGACCAATAGCGCTTGCGTCTCATTACATCAAAGGCTTTCGCGCGTCTACTACTCAACAGGCTTTCAAGGGAACTTCAGCCTCAGGGAGAACATCAGCTAGCAGGCAAGAATCGTCAAGCTGCTGATTTCATTTGGCTTTCTGTTCGTCTTGCTCATCTATGTAGAGAGTGGAAAACGGATTGCTACGTATTGAAGCTGGACCTGCAGAGGGCATTTGACTCAGTGGACAGAGTTCGTCTTGCTACTAAACTCTGCGAATGGGCGGGGACTGCTAAACCTTTTGAGACCAGAAGCCTTGTCCGAATGCTTGCCAGCACAGAGCTCTTGCTGCACCTCCCGTGGGAGGACTATGCCATTGAGGCTAATGTCGGGGTAAAGCAGGGAGCTACCGAAAGTCCGCTGCTGTTTGCCCGCCTGTTGGACGACATCATGACCTCAGTTGGGTTGGCAAGCGATGCTCCCACATTGCCTGATTTGTGTCACGACAGTGCAGTTTTTATGGACGATGTACTAGTGTGGAAGCTGACTTTGGAAGGGCTCCAGCGTTTCGTTGACAAGCTCCTCCCTCTGCTCCTCTACTATGGTCTTGCGGTCCAACCTGAAAAGTGTAAATTGCTGTGTCTCAGAGGGTCCAGGGCGAAACCACTGCGCATGGAAGGCAAGGACCTGTTTCCTCTCCCAGAAGACGAGGTGCTCATGATCATGAACCTCCCCCTGGGTTTGGCGTCTACAGAACAAAGGGTTCTTGAGTCCATGGTGGATAAGGCCAGGGGAAAGTTCTTCGGTATCCTTCACATTTTGTGCTCCTCCGCTCCGCTCTCCTCGCGGGTCAAAGTTCTGGAGGCCGTTGTCTTTGGGTCGCTCAGATGGTGCCTGGGAGCGCTAGTGCCAACAGTCCAAGCGCAGCAGCTGCTCAACTATTTTCAGTGCAACTGCATGAGGAGAATGATGGGGATCAAAAGGGGTGCAGGAGAAAGGTGGATCGACTTTGAGGCTAGAAGCCTGCGGATTGCAAGGGCAAAAATCTTCCAGATGTCAAAAACTCGATGGGGCGACAAGCACCTTTCTGCGTTCTGGCGATACACAGGGCACCTGGTCAGGGAAAGTCAACAACACAGCTCGTCGGTGGCAGGTATCCTCTCAGGGTTTCGAGATCTAGTGTGGTGGACCAGACAAAGAGAATTACTCCGGGGCGTTCGGCATCACCGGCACTTTCCGTTCTTAATGAACACAGAACGTCGAATCGCTACAACAGTAGGGAGTGATGCCTGGCGGGTGGCTGCGTGCAACAGGGCACAATGGAGAGGGTTTGAGAAACAGTGGATCACACAGGAACAAGTACCGTGGGCGTCGGGTAGGCAAACGTCTTTGACAATGTGAGGGCATCTGTGCGAATGAACAGCTGAGTATTGCAGCTCTGCTGTGAGAAGCACCGCCCTAGCGTAGCTCAAGACTCCAGCCATGGGTGGCGTCACGCTTTACCAGTATCTACATGTGGTCTCCCTCGTGACCGTTTTGGCGCAGGGAGGAGTTAGTGCCGTGGGCCCCTCGTGACGAGTTGGCCGGCATGCCTCTCCCTCGTACGGAGGAAAGCACCTGGAATGGAACTGGGTCAATGTGGTGGCCTCCTCTTGGTGATGAGGCCCTGTCTCTTGCCCCCCGGAAGGCGGGCTTGTGTCCAAGAACGAAGCAGAATGCAAAGTGCATGTTGGAACAGCGAGCGGTACGCCTCGGATACTGCCCACTGGGAGCGGCCTTCCTGCCTGGATAAGCAGCCAGTGAAGAACAAGAAGGATCATGCTCCACGGTGTCACTACAGATGCGGCAGATGCTCCTCGGAGTGCAGGGTTGGAGGCCTAAGATGGATCCCTGATCAGCGCGTGAGCGTGGCTGCTGGATGGGAGGAGACTGACGGCTCTGGCGTGATACAGGAGGGCGAGGGCTGCCTGGCAACGCCCATGTACGTTACGGATTGACGGGGTGCATGAGGGCAATGACGTGCCTGAAGGGCTTGCAGAGGAGGGCGAGGACTGCCTGGCAACGCCCTTGTACGCTACTGGGATTGACAGGGTGCACGAAGGCATGGACGTTGTGCTGAATGTCGAGGTGCGTGAGGGCAATTGCATGGTTGAAGGGTCTGCGGATGTTGAAGGGGACGTGTACATGCATGCAGCCTGGACGGGCCATCCTCGAAGCAGGGCAGTCGTCGGTAATAGGCAGGCCGGAGATGGCAACCAGAAAAGCAGGTTGGAGAACCAAGGGCCCAAGGGGATGAACTTGAGTTTGGCAAGGAAGCTCAGCTTCCCTCGTTTCTGCGCATTCTGTTCATTGCCCGCATACTGACCCTGGTAAAGCCTTTTCCCGCGCACCTGCACGATCTCTTCAGCTTTTGTCACAACACTCTCAGTCTCGACAGTCGAGGACAAGTGGCGTAGTGGGGAGCATGGCCTTTCGACCCCTGGCAGAATACACGCCTCCGACCCAAAGGGTTCCAGCCTCGCTCTGCATCTGAAGTCTCTCAGTGTAGTAGAGGTCCTCCACTGGGATACCCTTCCTGCAGTCATGCTTTTGCAGCAAGTGTTCTGGAACTCCACACGGACATATTGGGAGCTGCGGCAGACCATGAAGAGTCCTCCTTCATGCAAAGAAAACGAGGACGGTCACCGACCCCCAGGAGAAGAAGGCGCCAGCGTCAGGAGAGGGAGCGACAGCGGGATAGACAACAGCGAAGGCACGAGTGGACGGTCCATGCGGGAAGAACCAAGGCCACGACGGAGACCAGTTCCAGGAGGCCATTAAGGGCGCCATGGCAGCGAAGACCAATGACCCCACCACGGCCCTCTAGTATTCCGGCTACCGCGGCGGCTTCCTCGAGCTGCGAAGTTCCTCCTCGCCCCGATGCCCAGATGGGTGATAACGTCATCTGGTGGTCTGAACTCATAGGGCTGAATGACCCTATGAACAACAGCGTCACCGTGCTCTCCGACCAGACGGTGGAAACCATCATCTCGAATATCAGGGAGATGACGGTGGAACACCGCGCCTATATGCTCTCAGAGCTCATCCCGTTCTTGGGTGCACTGATGGCCGAGCTCCTCAGGGCCATTGCCACAGCCATCCAGCAAAGCCAGAACGAGGTGGTGGCGGTACCAGTTGACGACGAGGACGAAGCAGTGCATCAGTGCAGTATGATCCGGCAGTCCCTTTTGGCTCGCGGCTGTCGATGCTACAAGCTCACTTAAATGGGATGAGCGACGGCCAGAGCGCACAGGTTGCGGCCCACCTGCAGATCCTGATAGGTCATCTCCGTCGACTAGCAGGAGACCTCACGACAACACCGGGATCGCTTTGAACGCCTGGAGGCTCTGGTTGCGACCTATGCTGGTGAATGTGAGGAAACGCCACTGTCGTTGCAGGTGTGGGGAGAACATCAGCTCCAAGCTCTCGTGCCGTACCTAGGGGGTGGCGCTGGAAAAACTCCGCAAGTGAACAACCAGACTGAAGGGCATGCAAGTGGGGCACCTACTGCAAGCAGGGCTGCGAGTTCGACAGACGTGGTGGTCGTTGACGACTCTAGTGGGATGGCCCCCCTAGAGGCGCTGGAGGTCCCAGAATACCGAGTCCAGCGTGCACCTGACGGCCCATGGCTACCTGCGAGCGAACAGGAAGCTGCGGAATTCAGAGCACATGATCAGGCGATCAGAGAGCAGGCCCTGCAGCAGGAGAAGCTGGATGAAGAAAACTTCCAACAATTCGAGGCGGCGCTCAGCCAGAAATGGGATGACTGGGCCATACGGTCGGAGCTGGACAGGGAAACACCCTGCCGAGCAGAAAGCGGATCCGTGTGGTTGTGAGTGTGGGAGACGCCGCAGGTCACCAGGTTGGTGAGGCACAAGTGGAAGGTACGATGGAAGCCGGCCAACAGCCAGTGGTGTCTTTCCAGGTCACGGAAACCTTGCTGGGAACGACAGAAGATCCTGCTCTGGAAGTTGGACCGGCAGCTGTGGCGTTGCATGCGAGCCCCCAACTGGCGGAGTTTGATGCGGAGTGCATGCCTGGCATCCCGGATGCAATGAAAGCATTCATGGCTACGAGGGAAGCCAGATATTGGCTGCACCAATTCATGGAGGGCATGGCAACGGAGGACATGATTTCCAATAGGTTCGGGATGGCAGTGCTCGAGACCTTCCAGATGTGGATCGCCATCCGGGATGACGTGGACATGCAGGTCAGGAACTGTGGGGATACTGTGAGAGGCATAGCTGACGCCGCATATGAAGAAGGTGAAGAGGGATCAGAAGCCACCACTGTTGCGGTGGGAAGGGATGAGGAAGCAGCAGACACCATGCTGGCCAGGAAGGGCTACATAGAACCGACTGGTGAAAATGCCGGCGCGAGGGACAGTGAGCACGAAGAAAGCCAAGAACGCGAAGCTGATGAAGTGGCGGCCGTGGCACCTGGAGTGATCTCGGAGGACAGGGAGGGCCAAGTCGGAGTTACAGCTGAGGCGCTGGTGGCAACAGGTGCTGAGGGTGTCGCTGGCATGGATGAAATGGTCGGTCATGGTGTCCCTGATGACCGTGAGTCTGAGCACGTCACGGATGAGGCTGTTGAGGGACATGGTGAAGCCAGGGAAGAAGATGACCAGATTGACCCGCTCACGGGCATCCCAGCCAAGTGGGCAGCGTTCTGGAGAGCCACCAACGCGAATGCAAGCATTGGTGCTGGTTTGCCGGGGCCCTCTGAGCTCGCAAGAGGAGGGTCTCTTAGTGATGGCTTGGACACCCTGCCGGGAAACACGCTGGCCAGCTCCGCACAACAGGAGAATATCGAGGAGATGCAGACCTCGGCAGCGGCGGCGACGTCCTCCTCTGACCCCCACACAACGAGCTCCTCTGATGGTAAGCGGCAAACTGATCTGAAAGATTGGTTGAAGTAGGGGGGCTGTGCTGCATGGTTCGACTGGCTGAGCATAGTAGAGTCCGGAAGAGCTGGCCTGGTAAGCGGGCAAACTGATCTGAAAGATTGGTTGGACTAGGGGGTTATGCTGCATCTGGCTTGGGGTCTTGGTAACCTCTGCAAGGGTAGGGCTGTCGCTGTTTTCTTGGAGCGTCTGGTGGTAAGGGCCGGCTCACTGGGACTGTGCTTTCGAGCATTTCCGTTGACCTTCGGGCGGCGGAGAAAAGGTCCGACAAAAAAAAAATCCTAAACCCTAAACCCTGAAGCCTTGATCCGGAACTTTCAACCCCGGTTGTTCCCTGCCGCCCCATCAGTTAAAGTACTTTTCCTTCGCACTGACTGAAATTACAAAAGCCCCAGAATAAGATGATATATATATATATCAGGGTTTAGGATTTAAGGTTTTGGGGTTTATATATATATAGATATATGTTTGTTTATTATTTAGGGTTTAAGATTTAAGGTATCTGCTATCTGATATTGTTCTACCATCTTGGGGATAGGTATCATTACCTCGCACTCTGAACCCTAAAACCTCAGGCCCAGCAAGTATACGGCAAAAGACGGGATCTCGGTCAACCTTGTCAAAGGTATCATCCGTACAATTTGTTTGCAGTTACGCCGCGGACTGGGAAGGTCAGTAATTTGAGGCATGAAGCTAGTAATTAGTAGAAGGCGAAATAATATCTGCATGACACGGGCAGGTTACTCCATCGAGCTCGGAACACTGTTAGGCGGCGCATGTCCAAGCATAGCTAAGATCCTGCAAATCTTGCACAACACAATTTGCGCTGCTTGCATTACTTGATCCCAAAAGCATGTCGACCGTTTTGGGGTTTTGGGCCACTGTTCTACCTACTGTTGGTGTCCAGGTAGCTCAAACCCTAAACCGTAAACCCTGAATTATTGGGACTTGCTGAGACCCATATGGGGGTTTCCCCAAATTCGGCATACTTTGGTTGTCCCGAGAATCAGGATTATAGCGTTTTGGGGTCTATATTAGGGCTCCCTTATTTTGGGAAACCACCAAATACCAGGAAAGCCACAGTGCAGCTTGGTTATTTCTAAAACGGCTCGGTTCGATGTCATATCATTTTCCGATATTTTCCGTTCGGCTCGATGCGACTGTTTTTTTTACATAACAAGGTTCTTTGCTATTATTGGATCGTTTCGGTGGTTTATTGCACGTCTTTCTGCTGGATTTTGCTTTGTAATTTTTGTGCAAATTCTCAAGGGTCTGGGTTGATGCACGCCAAATTTCACCAACCTTTTGTGTGCTTAATATTTATTTTCTAGGCGTTTCCAGCAGGATATGCCGCATGATGTTTTGCAGCCTTGCAAAAATCATCCAACATTGATTCTCGGAGAAGGTCAGAGATGATTGTTCAGCCCCGAAAAAAAAAGGTCGTCGTGATTTTTAGTGTTGTGCATACAATTCCAAAAATGGGCGTGGTGGTTACACTTGTCCCAAACCGTGTCAGGGCGAAGATTATTTACAGTCCGATTATGAGCCCACCTAAGTCCTCTCCATCGGTTGTATTTGGTGAATATAGTGCTTGTTTTGAGTAGGTTATAAGGACCCATGGTATTTTTTCAGTTCTTGGAGGGCTTGCCGAATGGTTTTTTGCAGACCTACAAACATCTTCCAGCACTGGTTATTGGGGAAAGTCAGGGATGACTTTTCAGCCTCGAAAGAAAATCATTCGTGGTATCTCTTAGGGTTGTGCACACAATGCCAAAGATGGGTTCCGAATTAGTGGTATTTCTACTTGTCGAGGATAAGGTTACCTACAGGCCGATTATGAGCCCACCTAAGTCCTCTCGAGCGATTATATTTGGTGTATATACTTGCTGTTTTGAGTGGGTTATAAGGACCCGGCATGGCCCTTGAAGTTCCAGGAGGGTTTCAGCAAGACATGCCGAGTGTTCTTGTGTAGCCGTGCAAAAAAAACTTTCGTCCTAATTGTAGCCGTCGTCACACAAGCGTAGGTGGGAGTAGGAGGAGTAGTAACAGGAGCAGTAGAGGTAGCGGTAGCAGTTGCAGTCGCAGTAGCAGTAACAGGAGCAGTAGCAGCAGTAGTCGAAGTGGTAGTGGTAGTTGTATTAATGGTGTACTTGGACTAGTACTGGAGCAGGAAGCCCTCCGACCCCAAAACATGAAGTCCACATGATTTTTCCGGGCCCTGCAAAACTCACTTTGAAGGCCAACCGACCCCAAACCACAAAAAGCTACTCGACCCACAACCGCAAATGGAGTGGGAAGTCTTCCGACCCAGAAAACACGAAGTCAAACTAGCTTTTCAGGCCTTGCAAAAATCATGTTAGAGGCTTTTCACCCCTAGCCTCATAAAGTCACTTGGGAAGCTACCCGACCCCCAGAGTTTGCCAGACGTGGGCCACCTGATTGCCTAGGCCTTGGACTCCTCCTTGCTAGGCCTTGGATTCCTTAGATTGCTCCTATCTCGAACCACGGATCTTGCCAGACATATGCCAATGCGTGTTCCTAGCTTTGGAAAAATCTTTCTGGGCACGCCACGCCCCAAGACGCAGATGGAGGTCGGCTCGGAGTCGTTTATTCGATGCGGTTCGGGCGGATCTTGACATGACATGTTGTCGGCTCACACGGTTAGATGCGGGATTACATATTTCTGTTGTTGCGAATTCGGTTTTTGTGGTTCGATTGATTCGGGGCCGGTGCGAATGACAGCCTTCATGAATGTATCATCAGGCACTCTGATTGGCGCAGGAGCCAGCAAGGCATAATTGCTGCTATTGCCATTCCTGCGCTACTGGTACTAATACTGTTACTCCTTATGTTGCTGTTGCTTGTAATAAAGGTTACTATCCGACTTGAAACCTAAAATTTGGGGGCCCTAAACCCTCGCCCCCAACACTGAGCTTTATCCCTAGATTAGATTTTAAATTCAACACCTAAACAGCCAACCTTATACCTTAATAAGAAGAACATGGAAAGCCCATCGTAATCTCTCTGTAATCGTGCTTGATCGCGAGGGCCCCTACGGTCCCCCTGTTCTCATAACATTTCAGTTCAGGAAGTGTGGCGAGCACATCAACATCTTTACAGAAGCCTATTGGGCACCTGGGCTGTGTTTTGTGGCTTGCGGGCAGGCCCTCCTTGAACCCTAAACCCTTTAGCCCTAAGCTCTAAACTGAAAGATTCATGGCTTGGGCTCTCTGGTGCTTTGGGGTCTGCGTCTTAACGCTATTCGGTTTAGTGATCTGAAACGAGGGTTTAGGGTTCAGGTTTGAGGGTTTGGCTGAAGGGCTTTGGGGAGTTTAGATTTGCGAGGTTAAGAATTGAGGCTTCTGGGTTTGGCTTACGGTATAGGGTTGAGGGTTTGGGATTCAGGTTCGAGGGTTGCGTAACGTTTGCAGTGGGTTTATCTTGACCGTAAAAGTAGGTAAAATCCAACCCCAAACCCCGAAAACTGGGCAAGACAGGATCATTTTACATATTTTGGTGTTCAGGTAAAGTATTAGAGTTTGAATGGTCTAGGGTTTAGGGCTGACCCAGACCCATACCCCGCAAAAGGATCGAACACAAAACAGGTGTGGGAATCCGAATTCTGCAAGATTTGTTTGAACTACCGTAGCAGCCTATACTCATGTACAAGCCTGGTATTTTCAAAGGACCATTAATGGTGGGCATAGGGGTCCCTTGGGTTGGTCTAATATTGTCCCTAGTATGTGCCCTAATACAAACTCATGACCCTAACTGCACAGATGTTGAGTTTAGATCACACCCAAGCTAGAACCTCTGCAGTACTCAAGAGTTCCTCCATCCACTCAGCACTTCAGGACCACGACCCCAATGCCAATGGCCCAGCTCAACGGCACTTCTGGCGTGGACTTCGACTCTCGACTTTTCCGGCTTTTCTGTGTAGCTGCTCGAAGGGTCAAGGTTTATGAAGTTCAGGTTAAAGGGCAGGGATATTGGCTTTAGGGCCCGGAGGTTTGGTGTTATTCAGGTTTGGGAATTTGGGCTGTCTTCGGAGCTTTCAGAGTTCGATTTGAGCTTTGACGTGCTTGCCCCCTAGTTACATAACTGTATTTCGGAGTCCTAAAACTACGATTTATAGAACTTGTAACCACATTTATCCCAACCTATAGCCCAGCTTATAACTAGGGGGCCCCTCCCTGTACATGGGGCATACCTCTTTTAAGGGTGGTCTCTTTCCCGCTCTTCTACAATCTCATGCTCGCGTGCGGCGGCTTATGTATCACGACCCTGCGCCCTCGAACGGTATCAACGAAGTCTAAGTTTTCTTTGCATACTACAGATAGTCTAACGCAGCCAAGGCTTCAGCTTAGTATGAGCTATAGTCGGAACTCCTGAAATGGAGTTACGTAGGGGATCATATAGCAGTACATTACAGGTGTTATGAAGGGGGATACTAGGTGTTTGGACTATGGCTCATGTTGTTCCTACATATAAATTAAGCTTCAGGTTGATACTATTCGTATTCTCTTTTGTCGTGCTATCCGTAGTCAAGGCTGCAGCTTTATGCTGTTCGCATGCCCCTCGGCCCTAAACCCTGAACCGTAAACCTTACAGTGCCGCCTAAGTAGATAGAACACGGGGTATATGGGGAACTGGTCTTGGAGTGATTGGCAGTACCTGGAACCCCAAGCAGAAAGCTCTGCCCACCTTGGTGGGCGTCGTTTAAAAGCGCATATATAAGCCATGACCGTAGTTGGGAAAATCTGATGGCCCAAACGGTCTGGTAAAGCAAGGTGGATTATAGGAAGTAAGCCGTAAGCCCCAAGTGAACCCACCTACCTTTGCGCGAAAGGCTAGGTACTCCAGTAGTACCCTTTTTCCCTTTTTATTTCAGGTCTCCTCTTATTAAAGCTGAATAGTAGGACAAAGGGTACCCTCATGATTAAGGGGTTAATGGGGAACCTAGAAATGCACTTACCTTAAGGGTCCAAGGACCCAAATTATAGGGCTTTAGGGCCCAAATATTAAAATATCAACGGTATTAGGACCCTAAAACCCTATTATTTGGGTCCTTGGACCCCTTGGGTTGCAAGCCCAATGACACAATCGAAAGGATGGCCACCCATACCTAGAAATCTCACTCCTGATTCAACCCGTGAGGACCCAATATACACGTGGGCCCATGGCATCATGGGACTTACTAACTACGGTGAATACTAAAAAATCCTGCATGGCCCTAAGTACTTTATACCTGGGGAATAATGGCATTATTGTACAGTAAGGTCATGCAGGATTTCTAGTATCAACAGTATTTATAATTGGGATTATAACTCTACTTCATTGGGGTAACCCCTATAAGCCCATTTAGAAGGATTATGATTCAGCTTATAAGAACAATTATAAGTTTTTACTAAGTCCCATGGGCCTCCAAGTAGGGCTTGCGGCTTCAGGTACCCAAAACCTATCAAATGACAATACTGTGACCTGAGACCCCATCATTTGGATACTCGGACCCTCGAGGACTCTAGGCTTCACATAGACCATCTCAATGAAAAGATGCTTCATCCTTGAATGGGATCCGCACAGATATGTTTAATGTCTGGGGCCCCCACGAACACACCCATTCGGAAATATGCGCTACCCGGCCGCCAAACAACTTGTATTCAGTCACATCATTGCCGTCGAAGGAGTGCAGTACTACGACCCATCGCACTGGGGCCCCAACGCACGGGATGGTGGCAAAGCGCTGGAGACCACACTTCGCTGTTTCACAGCTCATGTTAGACGCTTCCGTTTTTGTGTGGGATCCCAAAGGCTCTATGTAGGTATATGATTTATACTTAGGCCCTAGAAGTATACAATATTCTTACATGGACCCTTTGAGGGAGGGGTTCAGTAACTAGTTTAGTATCAACGGTCACTTCAGATTTGTCTTGGTGCCTGCATTGAGTCCCAGAGGGTCTCCTTCCTTTGAGGTTAAGGATTTAGGGTGCAGGGCCAACTACCCTCTTGTATACTACGTCTCCTACACGAACATGCTTAATTGCAACCCGATGGAGGTTCTACCTTCATTCGCTTTGAAGCCGCTCAATTCAAGGGAAAACCCTGAGGAGCAGAGTATGGGGGGTTCCTAGGCACGTCCAGCACTGCCCTAAACCCCGAACCCTAAACCCTAAACCTTGAACCCAAAATCCTAGATAGTAGTTGCCAGTCTATTTTCCATCATCCCTATATAAGCTCTATATAATACCCCTATAGTTTCAAACCCTAATCATGCCCTAGCACAACTGGGCGGCTGTCTTTACGTATTAAGTGGGTTGGTTTAGGGTTCAGGATTTAAGGGTTTGGGTGACGGTGTAGGGAGTCTACTTGCTACATAACAGGAGTTATGAAGCTGACAATGGAATGATTTGGGATAACAAGTAGACTTTGGGTACTGCCCCCACTCAGTAACAGTTGGATAATAATTATAGTATGGTTATATATAGCCCTTCATAGGACCCCTACTATAGACTGTTACTGGGAGGGGGGCAGTACCCAAAGTAGACTTCCTAAGCAAGAGAGCCTTCGAGATGAAACTCTCAAATGGTTTAGGGTTTAGGGTTTATATTAGGGTTTAGGGATTAGGGTTTAGGGATTAGTGTTCAGGGTTTAGGGTTAGTACAGGTTTTGGGTAAGTATTTGATAATTAGGTACTTAGACCCTTAGGGTAAGCCTCAGACCCGGTTTTTGGCCTGAGGGGTTCAACGTATTTTTGGGGGGTCCAACCGCCATACACGACTAGTCACTTGAAAAAAGATTTGGTTTTACCCTAAGGCTCCAAATAGCCCAATGTAGGTCATATTTATAGACTTTGGGGCCCAATGTAGGTATTATTTATAGACATGGAGCCCTAGGGTTAGGAATTGCCGGTATTTGCAGGATTACGAATGGGTGCATAGGGACCTTAACCCTGTCCCTTGAAGCCCTAAACACCTAAGCCCTAAACCCCTAAAGCCTGATAGTTGTGCCATGTGGGCTGATCCGAAGTCATTGGCCCTGTGCAAGAGCCCAGCGTAAACCCTTGGCGGTCCTTCTTTTTGGGGTGTCCATCCTTAAATTTTGTAAGGTATAAAATCATAACGTTCTAGGGTTGTCCCCAGTAGGGTTTTGGGTGTAGGGTTTGGGGTTTAGGGTTAGGGGACAGACATCGATGAATTAGGCGAGCCCAAGGGGAGCATGGAGACATAACATTTTCTGGACTGCCTAAGCTCTATCACGTCTATCTACCCAAGTATGGCTCACCACGCCAAGCATGGAGAAATCATACCGCCTAAGTTTTAAGGTCTATATGAGTGGTTGTCGAAATTATGGTCCCTTTTTTTGATCCCTATCATAATACGGCCCCTAATATTTAAGGTATTCAAAAAGGGACCATCATTTTGACA